AGAAACAAACCGCAAGACAAGTCACTATCAGCCAGAGAGACAGTTTGAAACAGATAGCCATGGAGTCATCACATTGCAACAACTCCTGAATCAACATCGGAGGTCTCAAATAGCAGTTAAACACAAACCATACATCACCATCCTGCAGATGTCCCTAGAGCGGAACAACAGGAACAGCAGTGCAGAGGAGGGGGGGGGAGACAACACACCTGTTTCTGCACTCAACTAAACCCATCTGGTTCTGGTTACAAGGTGCTTTCACACTGGCTCACCATGAACCGGGCTCCAGTGCTGAATGAAAGGGTGTGTCCGCGGCCATTGGGACGCCATTCGCCAGTCGTATCTTTCCTGCCCCGAGGTAATTTCTTACAGCTTCACCTTCCTTCATAAGATGGACGGTTCCTGTCCAATAGGCTCCTGCAACACTTCTTAAGGTATATCTTCCTTCCTTCCTTCCCTTCCAAACAGAAAAATACAACAGGCGTTTCCAACAAAGCAGAGGAGATTCGCCCACAGGCCTGGGGAATAAAAAAATGACCACTCTTGCTCTATAAATTGCTCTGCATTTGTCAACAGTTATGATGAGACAAAGCAGACATGCCATCAGCTAAATCGGCGGTGCATTTGTAATAGGTCATCTCACTTCCCATGATTGACCTTATCTGCAAAGTGAAACTTTCCCAGTAAATTGTAGCAGAGAAAAGAACGATAGGAATAACATAGACGAAAGAAGTTACCAATAAATTCTCCTTATTTCATGTCGCATGAACTCATGATAGATGCAATATCTTTCTTTAAGATGAACCTCTTCAAGCATTAGTACCTCTGTAAGATTTTTATTCAGCTGCTCCAACTTTGACACAAATTTTGGTCCAATATTCAAATATAATTCCAACCCAGACACTGATCAACCATGGGCAAAACATTCATGGAATACGCATGTTTAAGTACGTAGTGTGGACATTCCTTTGTTTTCGTGTAGTTAAGAAAAACCTGTGAAAAAAAACTCATTTAACTCACACTGTAAAAACTCTTTCAACCCAAATTTGTTTCTATGATTCCCTTTAGTGTTTCTCTTCATTTTGCCACCGATAAACCTAACCCAAAAATGGCTCTAAACCTGTTATCCAGAGAGGGGAAAACACTGTGTGGACGTGGGCAAGTCCACACAACGTCGCTGCTACCTGGTTTATGTGGACCTCTTTTGTTCGGAAGTCCATACAGCGAATGTAATGCTTGTAAACCCATGCTGGAAAGTGCATGTTCAAAACACACATATCAAAATGTTAAAGTTCATGTACATGTATCTCAGTAACTGCATGGTTTCCCTACGAAACCCCAAAGCAAGGATTACGCCTAATAAGCACAAGCCTGACCTATTAAATCAATTGGATAGGAGGCTTTGCATGAGGGACTGTACAACTGGGAAAAGTTGGTGCATACATGTACAGCATGCCAAGTGGCCATAAAAGACAATTCTGAGAAGAACCAGAGGTATTACCACTTAAATCAAAATTTGTACAAATTTATTGTTTTTACCTTAATGCAGTTGCTAGGAAAGGTGTCCATTTGGAAGCTCTCACCCCTAATCAATAATTTTCTTGCTGAAGATTTAATGCATTTTAATCAATGGCAGCTTTGAGCTGTGGGGAAGTCGGAACTTGAAGACCCATAAATTGGGCCCAGATAATAGAAAGCAGCTTTGCTGCCTCATTTCCAGTCTTTTTTAAAAGCAGAATCCTCCCACCTTGGGGAAGTGATAAGTCAAAAAGTCTAGAGACCACGCCTTCTGTCGTAACGACTTGGGAGACAGCATCGATGTGTGACACACTTTTGGGGGACAGAAATCAATCATGTGCTAATGTTATCACTAACATTAAAATAGACAGCAATTATAGTCATGTGCCTGAAATGAACACAATTCTGTTCTAGTTTCCACTTCTTTTCTTCTTTTTAATATTCATATTATGGAAGAATGAAAGAAACAAGTCAGTTGCAGCCTTGCACAAGATACAAACTTTCTAAAATTATGAGGGGAAAAAAGTTCAGTTTAGGTTGGTTTTGTTCTGGTCATTAACCAAAATGTTTGACATATACCTGTATACATACATACAAACATGTACATGTACATGCATGTACACCTGTCACCCGCTGTAATGTAGCGTCAAAGCAAGGTTCTTTTCCCCCTAAGGAACAAGTGATTGCCCTACTTTAAAAGTGGTAATTGCAGAATGTTGTACGCGATGTTCATGCAGCTGCATTGACTTGAAACCATGCATACAACTGCAGGGTGAGTCAAAAAGAAAGTGACCGAATTTGAAAAATATTTGTAAAACTATTTCGCTTGCTCCACTTCATAAAACAAAACATAGGGATAAAGTACATCTTCTTTTCTTTTATCAGTGAAAATTTAACGTAATTTGCATACTCTACGCCAAAGTTGTGTCTATTTAAAAAAAAAAGATCACAAGACTTGGCTCCACAGCACTGATCATTTACCGTTCTACGAGCTGATGAACACCCATTCAGTACAATGAAACATGGACGTTTTCCCAACTTGAACGAACGAGAACTTGCGAAGGAAAACAGACAAAAATTGCCACCAATATTTCAGGGGGGAAAAAAAAGATGACTTGTTCCTCAGACTCAAAACACAAAATCTGACAGTAAAAATAATGTTTTAGTCTTGATTTCAATTATATTCAAATGTCATTTGTATTTGAATGCTTGTGTGTAATCTGTAATTCTCACTAAGCTCTATAGCTTCCAATTGCATTCCATGGACAGCTATAAAAACAGTTTCTTTTAGTAAAACATGCATGACTTCTGATGGCATGGATCAATTTCAGCAATTCTTTTTTTGTTCAGATGAGTGGAAGAACATGCTCTTTTTAAGACATACTTCTTTGGTGTATCAAATTTCATTGCTTAAAAAATAATTTGATTCGGGTCACTTTCTTTTTGACTCAGTCTGCATATGTACCAGATCAACGTTACTTGACATACATGTACATGTACATGCATGGTCGTAATTTATACATGGTAGAAATATCAGCAAACAAAATGTTTGGAGAGGCACACTATCTTTGAGAGCATGGTTCTAAGAAGAACCGTGCTGAAACAGGAAGCTGACGTACAGATTTTTATCAATTTTTATTTGGAACAGAATACAAGTTTACATGGAGGCTTGCTAGGTTCTAGGATTCCGAGTTTGATTTTATGATGTCGCTGCTACTATAGTCAAGATTCAATGTGTTGCCTTGATGATATTTACACAGTGGATATAGACACCTACTGGTAGATACACACTGTCAGCATCCTTGCTGATTGGTAAAGTCAAAGCCTGATCACCTGCATACTAAATACCAATATGATTGATGGAAATTTCTCAGACGAGCCAGTGTGAAGGGAGTCCTCCGATGGGATTCTTATCCCCTGCCAGATCAGTCCTCCGACAGACTACTTATTGATGACACATGGCAATCCCTATCTTGACTTGTCAATACTCCCAACGTTCCGCTGAGATAGGCTTTATTTCTCCTCCTTTTTTCTTTTAAGGGGGAGAGAACAAATCAATCAAATTGAGATTTAAGGTGGAAGCAGCCCCGTTGTGACGTTTTTCTTAATTGCATGCAGGTTCACTGGGCCATTTTTTTGAAAAGTTCTACTCCTTGGCTCCTTTTGGACAGCGTGATCCATCACCTCAATTGTGGTTTGACACCTCATCTCACCAGATTTAAACTTGATGAAATGTTGGAACACTTGAACTCAACGAACAGCACCATATTTCTCAAATTATATAGCATCCCAAGTTCCAATTTGTTGGGTGCACTAAACTGGAGTAAATTTGACATCTCAATTATAGAAATCAGTGACAGACACATGTTATTCCTGCTGGAGTTGACAGACTGCACACACATGTTTACCTGTAAGCTGTCCCATTGAACACCCAAGCAGTCTGGTCTACTTTACTCATCTGCTCTGTTTTCCTTACCAAAATACAGTGCAGCTGCCTGTCAAGTACTCAGGAATGAAATAAACCATCAATCCACACAGATAAAGACTGGTTCATAGTTGGCGCAAAAGCAGACGCTGGGAATTCGCACAAGTTGAACTCATTTCAACTCCAGCAAATTTTGCAACAAATGTTTTCTGACACCAAATCCGCTACACATTCACTTTCACGTGATGTACATGTACATGTACATGTATGATACACCGTACAATGTCTCCACTCCAAATGTTCCCAGGTGTTGTTGGTATAAATGTATGATTTCTTAGACTACATGTACAACATCTTCACACAGAAAGTTCATTTCTATTATGACAACTGCAACGTAATTTTCCTCATTTTTATTATCTTTCAATCATGTTTGCTAACATGATTCTGAAAGGGGGATTGGGCTCTTTTTGCGGAGCTCTAGGGACATATTTATACAAATGTAGCTCATAACCAAGATTTGCATTGTTTTTTGGGTGTTAAATGGGTACCGGCATTATTCAATGCTGGGAAGGTAACAGACTCGCTGTGGAGTTGGTATGGCGATCCCCTCACAGCAGCATTTCATGGACTCGAGTCTGGCCCAATCGCTTCGAAAGAGAGTTGGGCACTCCGTTCCTGTGAACACAGGTTCGTCCCCCTTTTGGGCATGTGCTGGCCATAGCAGAGTTACCTTTCATAATATGAGATTTGGACTGAATGCTACAAACAGGCATGATGTGCAAGACATCATTGCATGTATTTAAAGTGATGTGACTTTTCTAAATTCCAACCAGATGGTACACAAGAGAGTGTTAATATCACCTACAATCTATAGGCCAGCAAATCAAATCAAACGTGTTAAAAGTCTTTATAAAAAAAAAAGAGGAAAATTGAGTCAAACCCATGACTCAAAATTGACTCTTCACAGATGTCATACAATCCTTCAGGGATGTTCTGTACGCCGGGTTTCTCAAAATACAAACCTTTGGAATATAACTGACCTGACCGAGTGTCTTACCTCAAGATTTGCGAGATGGAATCATACAGACAACTGAGAACACTAACAAGAATGAGTTCATTCTCCTGAGAACTGCCTATGACATAGAAGTACAAGTCTACATTGCTGCGGTAGACACACGTCAGTCCTTCCAGCATTATGATTTCAGCTGCAGATAGAGAAAAAGAAACACAAAACAAGAAGGGGAAATGAATGGACTTGGTAACCATTTTATCATCGTTTGTTTTGCCCAGGCCATTGATCTTTTGAGTACCACTCTACTTGGATCATAGTTTCATCATAAGATTGCAACCTTAGGCTGGCTGTTTACCGATAAACTAAATAATGTACTTTCTTATGAAAGCCTGAAACTTTTTTTTAAAAGAGGCTAAACTGATATCCTTCAATTTTTTTTCCCAAATACTTTCTGAGTCACCATTATTTCAAAAGTACCAACAGCAATGCAATCATGCATTTATCAGCCATTTTGACTTCTTCTTTTACATGTACGTATTTTCTTTTAGCCTCCAGGGAAATTATAAGTTTCAGAATGGGAGGAAGCATGTAACCAAGGGCAATCACAACATGATGCCACATGACGAATGTTCAGCCTACGGCGACACATCCCGAGCCAATCAGTTGGGCCGTTCACTGATATCAAGAATCAGTTTAGTGAGGTTAGGTCAAAGACACCTCATCGCCTTCCTGACAAATATGGCCAGCATCATACAAAGTTCAGTTAGTGGTCCAATCAACAAACTCATATTTCTACGCAAAGGTCAGAACTTTAATCACGTTTCTCACAGGTTTATCAAGTACACGTATGACAGTCAAAAAGTCAGGTCAGTGGGAATGAACAATGACATAGGAATGATTCTGTTGCAAAAGCTCTGGCAAAGACTCATACATGTAATATATTTCTCCAGATCATTTGAGTGGAACTTAAGATTAATGCGGAGGAGGTGAAAATCAAAAGGAAGGTACATGTAACGGTACGATGTATGCTACTGGTCGCATCAAGATTCTCTGCTCTGCAATGGGCCTAATCTCTCTCATGACTTGAGAAACTGAACTCTTAAATGGCTTGATGGATAAATGTACAGTATCTATTTACTACATTAAACAAAATGCGGTTCTACAATGTGTCACACGTATACTATCCTTTGATTTAGTTTGGTCACCATGGATACTGATGGTATCTTCATCTGGCAGTGTACATTGTAAATTGCAAGTGTACAGTAGTCTTCTAACATAATAGGCCCTAAATCTAGCAATTAAGGCAAGCAACTTAACAGAACAAACTAAAAAAAAAAATCAGACACAAGTTGGACACAAAGTTTCACCCTCTGCCCGTAATCATGTAGATGGATTGCACTATTTGCCTAAAAGTTCTACACGTAGTCCTTGTTTTAATGGAGTACATTGTACATGTAGCTTCTGTGGTCTGCCTGTTATGCTTGAAAAACAGCTCCTTTCTATACATAGCTTAGTGGCTTTTAACACTGGTAGTGTATGAATGTCTGAAAGAGGGTAAAAATTAATGGCATATTGTATTGATATCGCTCAAACACTCCAGCATGTTCCTGTCTAGTTTCGGTGAGCAAAACACTTAGGCAACAGGGAGGCTGAACAATGCTTTCTTTTTCCCGCTTTTTTGTTAGAGATTTGCATTTTTCAAGGAGATTTACATTTATTAAGAGAACTTGGCATTTCTGGTATGTGTAGAATTAGATGACAAACAAAACTTAAATGTAGAATGTACATGCACATACTGCCTGTACATGTACTGTGCATAAACTAAGTTTAAATGCACAAACAGGATTACATTTTGTTGATGCAGAATATTTACAGCAGTGAAAAAAGTTCTTAAATCTTGGCCTTTTAGGTTTTATTTGTAAACTACACATCCCAGAAATGCCATGTTCTGTTAATAGATGTTAATCCCCCTAATTTCCCCCTTCTTCCCAGGGTCCACTTCAGGAATTCCTCCATTCAAAATGTCTCCAATTCATCAATGGGTAGTCACTTGAATGACTTCCTACCATAGACGAAAACTCACTTGCCTGTGCCTAATTCATTGACCTGGAAAACTAGAACGACTGCAATCCGGAATTGGAAATGAAGAAAGTCAAGAGTTACTCTTAACCTCGGTTTTAAGCACGTTTTTTTTTTTTTTCAAACTAAAACGGTAATGGACACCATTTGCAAATAATGTGTTTTTGCAAGTGATGTACAATCAATGTGAAGCACGTTAATAAAAACTATCCGGTCAAAATTTCAGCCAAGTAAATATACTGTTTGAGAAAACTGGGAGGTTGCATCTTCATTTTTCCCCATGCAAAGCATAGGTTTCCGTTGACAGTGCTATGGTTTGGTCCTTACCATCGCGAGAAAATGATGGGAATACCTCTTTTCTCAAAAATGACAGCATACTAGGCGCAGTGATTTCACAGGATGACTGATCCTATTATTTACTTACAATCAAGAATGACATTTCGTGATATTTTGATGGTTTCATTTTTAATGTTTGCAAATGGTGTCCATTTGCTTTGAATAACAAACCAGCTATTGACCTACAAATTGCCTTCATTCAATCAACCATAAAAAAATTAACCCGATTTTATTTTGGACAACTCCGGTCACTGCTTTTTGCAAGTCATCCCAACTGCGAACAAGTCCATCCAGGTCAAGCCAAACAAGGATCAACGCTGGGCTGGCCAACTATCCCCAAGCCCAAAGGCCTCGGGGAAGTCCAAGCGCATACACGCTTGGCGTAACCCACGTAAGACCAGGGTAGAAAGCCGACACCATGACTTAGCAACTAGTGGTCTCGGCTGAGGGGGCTAACCGGCCAGCTGTTCCCTATTTTCCCCCCGGTGGCATAGTCTCTCAACAGCGCTGGCCACTACGCTCCATTTGGTTGCCCCCCTCCACTGCACAGCGGACGGGGCTTCCTGTTTCAATCTTGCGGCATCCCCCGCTGCAGTCTAGATTTGGCCACGTGCTGTCTAGGCTAATTTCCTGGACAAGAGAGGTGGGGGGGGGGGGAAGCGAGAAAGAGAGAGGGGGAGCACCACGTACAGAGAACGATGAAACATGTTGAGTGGTGATACACAGTGCCAGGCACCAGGAGGCCAGTGCTTGAGGCTGACAGCTAGAAATCCTACACGAAAAAAAAAAGCGGTGGCCTTGGCACTGCGACCTCAGTATGATTTACACCAAATGCTAGCGGCGAAAAAAGGGAGCACACCAGGGGTTGCCCTGACTGGCCCGGGGGTATTGCCTGGGTTAACCCAGGGGGAATTAGGGTACTATGATGCGGGAACACTGTAGTGCACACACAAAGACTAAATACGTAGAAAAGGATGACATAACGTAGAAACATGTACTCAGTTGCGATAACAATTATGTGTCTCACCGTTAGCTTTGTGTGTCTTGCTGAACAGGTTCTTCTCAAACGCCTTCTGTTCTTTGGTTGTTGGATACGTGTCATCATAGTACTGAGGAAAAAATAAATGTACAAGAATTTATAGATAATATAAATGTAGGAACTGCAGGCATCATTTTATTACTAAAGTAACTAACGAACCTTTGGTGAATTCCATAATATTCACGTTTGAAGTCTGTCTCAGGTTTGTATCAAGGTTTGTATCTCTCAAATGACGTCACTGCCTTCAGATTGTCACTTGCATCGGCATTGTAGGAAGCAAATTGTCGTCGTGACGCATTTTGCCAGTGCCATATTTTGAATATATTTCAAGCAACATGCGCGCGTGTTTAGAGCATTTTGCACACTGTGCACACACGTACTTGATGGCATTGAATACATACATGTATGTAGCTCGACTTGAAAAGGTTGAAACTACATGTAGTTAGGCGTTAGTGTACACTACCGGTAGTGCATACATACATGTACGTACAGGTAAGCCAACCCCACCTCAGCAAGTTTGTGATTTATGTCTGTTTTCCTCATGGACAGCATACAGTACCAGTACGGTGAAGGGCAAGAACCAGTTAAACCACTATTGAATTTTGTGACGCATATTTCACAGTTTTTAAACCTACCTTTCTGCATGCCAGATTTCACATGATTTCTTGTCTTGGCCTTTTCAGCTTTGTTTTACCACAACACCTATCTTATTAGTTTATACTGAAGTCAGGGATTTTATGTTGAATTCATAAAGAGGTTTGTCTCCCAACAAAGCCGGCTCTTTGACTTATTCATGGTAACTTATACACTGAGGTAAACTAAAAGAAAAATCCAGCAGCACAACTGAAGAGCAACCCCTCAAATCAGCAAGTTGCCCCTGATAAATTGATTGGTAAAGTTAGTACATGTAAGCAGGAGGTCCTGGGTTCGATTTCCACCACAGCATGCCTGTAACTTCCACAGGCCTTCAGCAACAGGGCACCGGGCAGCGAATAAAGATGTGTTGATATATGGTACAAACCTCATACAACCAGTGTTGTGTGTTATATTATTATTCTTAAGTATACGAAAAAGATTTGTTTCTAAAGTCTAATGCCAACTTTCTTGCCATTTTGGTGAGGAACCTTCCTAGCTTTCCCCAAATTCTACCACCGTGCAAGAACCCCAAGGCATCAAGGACCAAATATGTAGACGTGACCGGATTCTATCTCCCACAATCCTGCAAAATCCTCTCAAAATCCTACTGGCGAATTTTGTAGGATCTGGGAGTATTAGGGTTAATCTGAGGACACAAATCCACTTCCATATCGATAAACTGTGTCATCTTTTGTTTCATCCATAAAATAAACCAACGAGTATCTCATGCAGTACAAGGTCCCTGTAGCCAAAGCCACACAAGTCCCCTGACAGGAAGAGCTACTTTGTCTGAAATTGACTCCAGATGGGCCAGTAGGCATCTATTGTTCTAAGCGCCCATGAATCATCGGCTTCATTGTCACAACCACTGCACTAGCTCCAACGTCAATTTGGCACATATGGGTTTCATCAAAGCTATTATATATTTGTTTTCACGTGGAAGGGAACTATTGTCATACAGGGTTCAAGATTAAAGCTTACCTGGGCATGACAGGTGGGTAAAACCAAACAGCATTGTGTCTATTACAAACTACTTTTTCTCATGCATATACAATATGGTGACTTGTTATACAGTTGCCACAACATTTAAATGTAAGTAAATATCTTACAAACACAGCTGTCAAAATTCATTTCCATGTAACAATGAACTGTGTTTTGGGACAGGAGGGCGCTTTGCTGACCCACTAACATGACTAACTAGAGTCAACTCAGGCCACTTTGCACAGCACTCATTGGTGGACTTTGAAGTCAAGGCCCATTTATGAATGTTTCTGTAAGCAAATAATGCAAGAAGTTTGAAATTGGGTAACGTCAGTCAGATTGCCAAGGTAAATGCTCATTGCAGTTCAATACATGGACATCTAGTGCTATACTTTTTTGTGTGCATTTTCGAAGTAAAAACTTCATCTGCTTAACTCACATTTTCCTTGAAGTATTTGGTGAAATTTGCAATGTAACTTCCTATTCATTGGTACCATGAAATCGTTTTGAGTGAACTGTAAAACTCACATTACCTCAGTACTGAAAAGGTGAAGATAGCAGCACTTAAAAGATATGCTACAGTATGAATGAAGCAATGGCACAGGAGGTGCAACATGCTGTTTACATTGATGCCAACATTAGTCATGATTGAAACAACCACAGAGAGGTAACCGGGGTTGACCTGCCCTTCGCCCACCCCCATCCTCCCCTCACCTCCCCCTGGCATGTACAATGTGGGTTTCCAACATCTCTTCTTGAGTTGATGAGTAAAAACACATTGCAAAATAGGCAAACTGGGTCACTCATGATAGTTGGATGTACTGAGTACCGAAATCACCACCTACTCTTGAGGAGTCTATTACCAACACACAGGCATTACCTTAAAAATATATTAAGCTGGAAAAACTTGGAACTACTCTTTAGGGAGGATTCACTTAGTTCACAGACATCCCACTTTACCAATCATTCTTTATTTCCTGCAATGCTCATTAAAAATTCCTCCACTCTGTTGTCTGTGGTATGAGATTTGGGAGTTGCAGTTCAAGCAAATCTACATGCACTAGCCCTAACCCACCTCAATCCCCCAAAATCCTCCTGGCGGTTTTGCAGGATTTTGGAGGATTGAGAATGAATGGTGTTTGATAAACCCGGGGATTTCGGAGGATTAAGGATGAGTGGTGTTGAAACACATAAACATTTTGCATGATTGAGGATGAATGGTGTTTGAAGAGGAGGATTATTTTGGAGGATTGAGGATGAATGCATTTTGAGAGGCAGGACTGTCTGACAATTTTGAAGAATTGAGGCGCTGGGTATCCTTTATTAAAACTTAAGTGCACATTTTTGGAGGATTTTGGAGGATTGAGGATGGTTCCTAGCAAACTAGGCCTAGAGGGTTAGGGCCAATAGACACTCACATTAACAATACCCATCATTCTGCATACTTTGCCCTTCACAAGATTAGACAATTTCTTTTAAACTGCAAACCACAGGAAAGACTGTGCATGCTTTCACAACATCTCGCATAGATTTGTGCAATGGTCTCTATGCACATTTATCAGCAATCTAACTCTTCGATCGCAAAGTACAGCTTGTCTAAAAGTCAGCAGCAAAGTTAGTCACACTGTTCTGAAAAATCCTCACTTGCTTCCAATCAAACTTTTGTAGCAAATCACATTTGTACCTCCAGGGGCCGATTTCACGAAACTCATCTCATCCTGCAACTCATCTTTGGACTTAAGACAAGTCCCCGCTCTAAGATCGATCTTAGCTAAGATCGATTTCACTAAACCCATCTCAAGCAAGATACATCAAAACTACCAATTCAATGGCTGTTTCATGTTTGTTTTTACTGCTTGACGAAACAGTCGTTGAAAAGAAACACGCAAAACCAATTTCCCATGCGCGCACACAGAAAACGAACTTTAGCCAGAAATCTGTTTCTACAGTGGTTTTCTTCCTCGAAACTATACATGTAACTCTAGGACGACACTCATTTTAACAGCAATGATTTCCAGATGATATACAAATTAACGCACGCATTGACCCTAACCCTGCTGAATCCAACAGGATCCAACTATATCATAAACCTGTTGGAGCCTGTTGGATCTTAACTTTGATGAAATCGATCCTACCGGTAGGACGAGTCACGAGTTAAGATGAGTAACCCTTCCCGAGACGCATTTTAGAGTTTCGTGAAATCGGCCCCGAGAACTTATCGACAAATACGAACCTCAGAGAATCTCTGCTCACAATCTTAACTTACCCCTGTTCCCAATCTTTACTTACCTGTATTGTACCATCTGTGAGATCTTACATACCTTTTGCAAGATCTTAGAGACAACATCTCCCATCCTATGGAATGAACTACCCTCTTACATCAAAGAAGCACAACTCTTGGAATCTTCAAATTGGCCCTTAACACAAATTTCATCACACAAATCTCTTTGTAATGTTTTCCTTTCATTGTATATATTCACACATTGCAACTTTGTGTGAATTACACTTTGTAAGTACATGTACATGTATGTACCGCGGTGCATGACACAGGCATTAACCATGTTAACTGTTGGCTAAAAAGACAATACAAACAGTGCCCCTTAGTCTCTGATGTCCCTTTCCATCCACCTTGAAAAGTGTCCCCTCGTGTTGGATGAGGTGGATGAGGTGCAGCTCCCAACCCTACCACTTTTGGAATCTTCAGCCATTGGCAATTACCCGGACAACCTTTCTTGCTACAATGTAGTCAGCATACAAAACAAATTTGTACAGAAATTGCAGTATTAAATCTTTCTGCCATTCAATTTTGGAGAAATACACACAGTAACACAAACTGGAGTACTTTCCAACAAGACTTTGTGTCTTTTGTTCTGCACATTAACCAGATATACATGAGCCGTCTAAAAATACATTCATGCTAGAATTTGTAATCTGACGGTATTGACAGGAATTCCCACCCTCAGGCTATTGGCATGTGCGTTAAAGTTCACGCCAGAATACGACAACCTAGTCCGGATGGTCATTTCTTAGATACATGTAGATACGGAACACATCAAAATCTTCACAACTGTTCCAACCCACATTTCAGCACAAGAACAACTTTGGGCACCCTTCATAAAATGACTGAACGCTTCTGGAAATGAGCAGCATATGGTTCACTCCAAATGCATGTAATGTGATACCCCTGACGAAAGTGGTTTGATAAATCGCAGTTTAGGCCCCAGCTGCTCCTCATCAAGCTTCTAAAGCCACTTAAAGTGTACAACAGGCATGGGCTGAGGAAGCTGATAATTTTCAGGTCAGGCAGCTCAGCAAATATCAAGATGGTTACGATCTTAGCCCAGGACCCTAGAGTGATTTTATTAAATCATGAAAAGTAGGGTGACTAATCGCCAGTTTTCCCTTCTCCGTGATTTTTATCCTCTCACAGGATTTTCCTGAAAATTTAAATCTGAACATGCAGAGTATGTTTAAGTGATTTCCATGCTTTGCGACATGCACTTTTTATTTGACTGAAGAATAAGCAATTTTACCGAATAAACCATATATACTGGTTGAGTGAAGGGCACGTACTTATATACACATCCATGTACAGTTTAAAATTCTACTCACAGAAGAGTAAGAACTGTATCACTCAATAGGCCTACAGTGCCCTTACATTTTGGGGGGGTGGGTGTTTAACTGAATTTCCTGCCTAACTTTAATGCATTCTCTTACTGGCTGCAATCGTTACTCTTGCATTGTTGGGCAACAAATCCCAGGTGGTCTCCCCCCTCCCCCCACCAACACACACACACTTTTTACCAGAGTAAGGCATACATGTAGTAAGATTTCAGTGGGGCCGTAATCCACCTTCATGGTAACGGTGAAGGGCAATAAGTACTGGTGAAGGGCAATGAATTCAGAGTACCTACCGGTATTACACGTACATGTACACCATGTACATGTACTCACTTATAGACCTAATATTGTGATGTCACATTCAGAGATGCTAAGACCACACAAAAGCTGGGAGTGTGGCAGTGTGAGTGGCAATGGCCATCATAATGTAACCTTGGCTGGCCCTAGGGATGAGGGTGTCTCTTTTGGTCCATGGCGTTAGGGTTTGTTTTTGTGACCATAACCAGAAACTTGTTTGATTGAACCGCCACTGTCATTCACTCAGAACCACGCTGCGTGGCGCTATATATATGATTTTTGCGCAGAACCGAAGTCGCCAAAATGCTTAACCCAAACATGAAAGCAACGCCCAAAATTAACTTTTAGAACAATTGAGCATGAGGCGTGTGATTACGATTGTCCGGAGTGTGAACGTGTGAATTGACTCTGAGGCATGTGACACATGCTGGAGGCATCACACTTGGTAGGTCCGTACATTTTGAGTGGCCTTTAGTCCATGCCTGTGCACTAAATGCATACAAAAACATTTCATTTACTTCACTGCCACTCAATTTGATGTAACAATTAAAGATGCAGTCATTGTGATGTCATGAACATTAGGTCAATGTTAACTTTACTGCAAACCAACTCTGTTACAGGGGTGCACCTTTTACCAGTACTTTCCAAGAGGAATGCATCCATTAGGGGTATACACTATACAAGGGTAAATGGTTTTGGGATGCCTTCATACAGGGAGTGGAAAAAGAAGGAAACCCACTTTTGACAGCAATATTCACCTACTTGTTGAGCATATTTCAAACGTTCAATTTAATGGTATTAAAATATTGATCTTGAAACATAAGTGACAAAAAAATGATTGCAAATGCATATTTTATCTCTGCGATAAGGTAGTTTGTATAATTTATGTGCCAAACCTGTTTGTCCACGGACAGCTTTATTCCATCTGCTTGACTGAGCTCCGGAGCTTGATTTGAAGACAACAAAACACTACACATGACTGACACGTGGACAACAGTGATTTCGGTGACTTGTACTCAAATTAGCAAAATAACACTATTCTTGCATTTTTTTTTCACCACGCACAGTTGAAGAGTAATACTTCACAACATTATTAAAAAAAAAAAAAACATTCCAAATAAGTTTAGTAGGTTGAAATTCCTGTCAAAAGTGGGTTTCCTTCTTTTTGCAACACCCTGTATATGAGTGATTTTTGCATGTTCAAAAGTTGACAGCCACCTCAATTTTAATAAATGATCCTGAATTGTGGCAAGGTCTATTTTGCAATCTAATTTTTTTTAAGTGCGACATGCAAATTCCCCAGTCTGTATGCATGTTGACCTATTAAGTCTGGGGCACACGGATGAAGCACTAACGAACACGTTGTCTATCTTTCACATGTCCTCTTGGTTTTGTGGGGTAATATTGAAGCAAATTGTGAACGACACATAACGATGTAGGAACACCATCTGGCTAGCCTTATAAGGTCTCCAGCCACTAACAGTGGCCAGATAACCACTTGACAAGAGGGCTAGCAAGTAACTCACCTGAGTAAGGGCAGGACCCGCAAAGCATCTGGTTGAACTTTGGGTTCTAAAATTTGGTTAAAAACTAATCAAGGCACAGAGACCTGCCCTCTCTCTAGAGAAAGCAAGTGCAGCTACACCTACCTACATTTATATGCATACCTGTACAAGAAGCAACATTTTCCAGGTCCCAGTAAATGCAAATTATAGAAAATGCGAGTACATACATGCACATGGCAACCTTCGATGAATCGACGTCTGTTACTGGATAGCACTCTAAATATGGATTAGTCTACTCCCGATAGGTTAACCTACCCGTACCTAGCCAAAATGTTTGTTATAACCAAATTTTGCATTAAATGGAGAGCCAGTCTCATTCATTGTGCACATAATAGCACGTCAGGACCCCGGATTTATGCTTACAAGTTTCAGAATATTGTTGCATCAGATTTTTATTAGCAAGAGACAACTGTACACGTGTATTCACTTGCATTTTCTTTTATTACTGTACAGGTTAATTTCAATTTCTTTGAAATGGCTTGTTACTATTTTTATTATGGCCTCTTCATGACTCAGTCCCTTGCTCTTCATTTCCAATCAGGTCATTTCCAATCAGGTCATTCTGCTTGAAAAGCAATTCTTTCTACCACCTGTATAACTCACTACCCCGCCTCCTCAGGTAGGATCCGAGCCAGTTTAGCCACTCCCCCTTCCGCCGAACCCCGCTTCGGAAGGAAGAACAATATACGTTTAAGATGCTGATATGACATCAGGGTCAGTGTATTGCAAATATGAATTCCTGCTGGCCCAAGTGGGAGATACGGTAAGTACTGTGTTGATGAATGGTGACATTACTTTGTGGTTGAATTCAGGATATGCAGTATTTGCAGGGGTGTGGTCTACTTGAACCGACCTCTTTGTTTGGATTAATGTGACTGCTCTATCAAAATTACTTGTCTTCTAGCCTGTGTTGAGTAATACATGTACATTGTAACCACACCAGTCAGAATACATATTTTCTTTTCTTTTGCAACACTCTTGATCTTCTCCTCATCAATCATTAGCACCTGATCTATATTACATTGTATTTATAGGGAGATGAATGTATAAAACCATAGAGAGCTAAGATGGTGTCAGGCATGATAGGGAGTTATAGGCAGGAGGGGTTTTGGGCGGTGCAGGGACCAATGAGTTAATCAACACGGGCCATGCTTTTCAATGGGAATAGGCTATAAATTGGCTTCACAAAGAAAGATAGTATGGTGCATGGTAGGATTTTGTGCAGTGCAACAGATTCCATACACATGTGGTAAATAATGAATCAGGATACACGTACATATGCAGTCCAGTAATGACAGCATGAAATTCAAATCGGTGAGCTGCTGGATTTTCAGGTGGAAATATTTTTCATGCACAGTTTTGGTAAAATGTAGACATATGGCAATTTCAACTGCATAGCAGCAGCGCCTTACAAAGAAGCTAGGGTTGCTACATGTAGTCACACCTTGAAACACTCTTTCTAGATATAACAAGTAAGCAAAATGTGTCATTCTAGAAATTTAGGGTCCAAAGTGTGACCTTTTTCCTGTCCCTGTTACCTTGGTATTTTGTAATTTGCCATTCAAGTATCACTTAGAATGACTTCAAACAATTTTATCTCTGTCGGGTACATGCAGGTAGTTCACTCTTTATAATCGCTCTTGGGGGATGACTGCACTAAGGAGTGCATCAGAATTATAAAATCATAGCTGTCCTTTGTAACCGGGACAGGGAAAAAGGTGGACGCAAAATTTATAGAATGACCCAGACATGTTTGAGTAACATCTCAAAAAGGAAGAGCCCACACATAATGTCAGTTTGAATAATCCAGTCAGGTACATTACCTTCGAGACAATCCTCTCTCCGTCATTATCGAGTATCGCTATGGCTTTGACTGTGTACAAACTTGCCGGCTGTAACAATAAAAAATTAACCATTACATCAAAAGGTATGATTTGTGTGGAATGATGTAAAAACTTGTTTTTTGATATTCCACTATACTGAAAGGTTTCATGTAGATTTAAAGCCCGAGTCCATCATTTGCAGCTATCCAAAAAAGTAACCGGCGTAATTATTGTTGAAAAACATACTGGTTGAAAGATAGTAAGGGGACTAAACTCCCTGTGAAATTATCCTTTCTGGCAAGCTCTCATTTTGAAGAAATCAACGAAAGAAGGCATTTCCAACGGTGCTTCTTAAGAAGCACCGTAGGAAAATTTAAATTAGTAGTTCGTTTTGTTATTCGGCGAAGCGCGCACAAGCATTGGAACGACGCACAGGCGCGCGCGGTTGCTATAATTCGTTGGATCAGTGCGCAATATCGCGTAAAGCTGCAATTCAAAACAATTCGAAACATGATTTAGCAACTTTTGATTTTAAATTGAGATCCTAGAATGCTGTTTTTCTCGGAATATGAAGCTGAAGCTGAGCTGAAACTTCATCAAGTAAGTTGTTCAGTATCCTTCATTAGATTTTGAACACTTTTGTTGCTTCAAACGAACAAAATGCACTAATTACAAATGATGGACTATAGCTTTAACTACTAATATATATCTAGGCTCATGGCTGTTTGAATTTTCAAAATTGGATAAGGGATTACTGAAATATGACCTTTAAAAAATTCTTTTGTAATTAATTTTTTTGCTCACTTCTCTATGGCCGCCGTGGAAAAACTTTGCATGTATAGATCTGCCTTGTTTATATACTACTAGGTTTACTAAACAGAACAGCCTAAGCAATCTTATTGGACGTCATTCACCAATCACGAAAAGGAGGAACCATCACTTGATACGTTGCCCCCCCCCCCCTACACCAATCACCAAAATGATACATCACCACGTGATTCAATTTGGCTTTGCCATCTACCGTACTCATTTGCAACGGGGCGATTTAGCAGTGTTGTAGTCAAGACCAGGCAGTCCAAGACCAAGACCGAGACCGACAGTCCAAGACCAAGACCAAGACCAGATTCATAAATAAACACATGTGAATCATCTTTGTATAAGTTATGTATGTTGATGTAAAATTGTGATGGCTAAGCTAGAGTATGACCATGTAGCTACATGTATGTAGCTACATGTATGTTAGTTTGATAGGAATGTGCTAATTAGCATTAATGAGCGTTGTTGGGTTTTTTACGTTTGCAGTTCGGCATTCAGACATTGGTGTACCTAATGTAGGCTAAAGCTGCAATAAAAGTTACAATTCAAAATAGTATTTTCTTCAAATTGTGCTTGTACTTTGTTTCTCAGGAACAGCATTAATTAATTTACAACAGAGGTCAGAGGTGCCCCCTTGCCCTCAGTCTCAAGAAAATGACCTCACAGCAACAGCACTCTCAGTTGTCTGGAAAAGCATGGACAATTTTAAATGATTAAAGTTGTGCACAAGTTCGGGCCTAAAACACAAACTGCGTCATGTTTTTGCCTCCAGTTTTGGCATCAACGTACTCTTTGTGGTCCTTGTACGCCTGCAGTATGATTGCCGAATTGGCAGACATGACTCAAACCAACTCCAATTGTGCGTAAAAAAGAGCAAACTTCCTCACAACCGAATCAGGCACGCATTCTTCCCACATGGCATACAACGTACGTACCAAAGTACACTATCCTAGAATGGTGCCTTGCCAGTCAAGTTCCAGATAGATCAACAGTGCATACTCCACGCTTCTAGTAACCGGACCATGCATTCAATACACATCTTTTTACTGACCGTAACCAGTGGCAATAATAATTATGTGGCTGCGGCTAGTCACCATTATGCGTGTAATAGATCATGCGCAAATGCACGAGGTATCTGCCAAAGCTAGCCGTAGCCAAGGCCAACGTAGCAGTCAGATTATGTACGTCAGTGCAGCCGGTACGACGGTCGCCAGAACGATGGAACATTAACAGCGGTATTATTCTGGTGGGATTTGGATTTCGTTAGGCAACAACTGCAAGTGCATTTCTATATATTGGTCTCGTGCTGGTCTCGGCCCAAAATTCTGAGAACAGTAGGTGTGAGACCAAGACCAAGACCAAGACCAGCGTGTTTCCCGAGACCATACGTGGTCGAGACCGAGAACACATTCAAACTGGTCTCGAGACTGGTCTCGAGACCAAGAACAGTCTCGATGGCTACAACACTGCGATTTAGTGATTGATTTTGGCTTGTATATGAGTACGGTACAGTACATGGCAAAGCAAAATCGTTCACTATTTTTCAACACATTTCTTTTTAAGTGGGCCCAAAACTAAATTGACTGTTTTACTAAATAATATATCGCTCTTTCCATTTTTGCGATTTGATTGAAAAGGAAAAAGCCCCTTATATGTGAAAAATCAGTCTGAAGTTGAGTTCTATTTTGAGATGGACTACTTCGGCTGAAAAAATTAGCGTTTTTTCCCCCAGTATTTTGGACACATTATTGTTGACGTATGAAAATTATGAAGATGATCAATAGGCCTAACGTGTGGAAATCACCCCGTACCTTCTGATCAGCATAAACCACCTAAAGAGTGCTCGCGCGGCAACTTAGACAAAATGTTGTTCACTGTTGCGTGACAGCTGCGCAGATCAATGGCTGTCGGTTCGTGTGCGGTCCAATTCCCTAGTCACAGATAGAGGGCAGGGTTTTAAATTTTTTAGGGAAATTTTGGGGTAAAATTACAATGACGACAAAACGCAACACGAATATAAAGATGATGATCACCGCGATGTACATTGTACCCTGAACGCGCAAGGCACGCTGAATCGGCGCACAGCACCAACCGTAATTTGCGTAAACCGCATACGAAAATCGTAATTTTCGACCATGTGTCAACCCAAACAGACCGTTCTTATTTACAAAAAAGGTGCCCTTTTTGAGAGTAGTCTGTTTTAGGTTGAAAAGGTCATTTTTTAAATGATAAAAAAACACCCTCGACTCTTATTTGATTGAAACTGTCGAGCGCAATTTGAGTCCCCCGCGCAAGTTTAAACTTGCGCGTGGGACTCCCGAAGCACGCAAATTACACCGCGCCATTTTAATTTGCGTGCGCAAGTTACAACTTGCGCAAAGGCGATCGCAATTTGAGAACCTTGCGGGCGGGATTTTCATTGATGAAGAAAAATAAATGTTCGAAACACAAGTGCATGGAGAAATAAATTAATAAATAATGGAATAAATTAATGAGCAAAGAAATTAATAAAAAGTGGAATTCAATTAGCGTCAATGAAAAGAAACATTGAGATTTAGCAGTGCATATCAGAGAAGTTTTTTAGGGGGCGGGGGCGGAAGGGGACCAGGCAAGCAATAAGCATGGTGATTGCTTGGAGAGAGTACTGAAGTTGTTCGAAAATGGAAACAACTTGCTTCAAGGTTTTTTACCTTGCATATGTAAAACTAAAACGCATTTTATTTATATTCTTAAATGTAAATAAATCATAATTTCCTAGGGGTAACCCGTTGTTAACGTAAAAGAATGATTATCATCCCTTCAATTGTTCAAGATTTTTGACGTTATAGTAATCATTTACATTATTTTTTAAATGCTTTAAATTATATTACATGTACTGTACAACTAAAAAAGTAGGGCCTACTTATTCTTAAAAAAATACTAATTTTATTAATTTAGCAATTAATTAATTGGACGGTACAATATTTCATTTTTTTTTTAAAAATACTTTGCATAACATTTCGAGCGCTGTGTACACTTGTGTACACACAAAAATGCATAATTTGAAAAAAAATTAATGAACTCATTACTGATTTAATTAATTTATTTAATTTATTACTTTAAACAATTATTTTACTTGCAGGCTCAATAATTCATATTAATGTTTACGTGCTTTAACTTAAAAACGCTATGCATATAAAATGGTAATTATTTTAAAAAGTAAATGAATTTATTAATGATTTAATTAATTAATTTAATTTATTAATTTAATTCATTAATTCGAATTAATGAATAAATACGTTGTTTATTTAACAAAAATCCTAATGAGCCATAAACAATAATACACATTATGAAAGTGCATAAATTGTTCGCATTACCACACCTTAATCTCTGAACCCACACAGTCAACCTCATTACTACTGTAAATAAAATGTTTCAAAAAAGGCAGTAGGCTAAGGCATTGTCTCACGAAGCACAGTGGTGCTATTAATTGGAGAAAAATAGGCTTTCAAAAATAATGTTACATATCTGCATGAGTTTACCAGGAAAAAAATTAGTTTGGCAGCTTTGCATGCATGGGAAAAATCTATGTAGCGCGTAGTCCGAGTAACTTGGACCCAACTTGAACTTATCGCCTTTTTTAACATTTGGACATGGTCTGGCGATAGTAGGGTCCAAGCTAATACCGCGAGCTGGACATCACAACACCGTCCCCAAAACCAACATTTTCCAACAAAAAACATCAGATTTCACCTTCAAAATGGCCTCCAAATTACTAGATATGCCACCTGAGGTACAAGTAGACATCGATGATTAAGATGGTTGTACTGAAGTTTACTTACGATCCGGAAAAAAAGTGAAATTGTTCGTTCATTTCGGAGAGCTCCCCTCGCGATCTTGAACACGTTAAATTTCCGATCGTGTTTAATGTTTGAACGACGCGATTTCTTCTTCATGCCAAGCGTACATTCGATGGTCCCCGTATCCCGAGTGCGATTCCGTTACCGAGCGCGCGCGATGCATCGATTATGATAATGAGTAGACTGGATCACGTTTGTAAACACATGTGCATTTCAAACGCTAATAGGGAGTTGGGAACTAGCGCAGCTTGTATGGCTGATACCAGTTAAAGCTGGTTCCCGATTCCCTTTTACAGTTCGAAATGCACATGTATGTGTTTACAAACGTGACTCATTATCATAATCGATGCATCGCGCGCGCTCGGTAACGGAATCGCACTCTGGATACGGGGACCATCGAATGAATGTACGCTGGGCATGAGGAAGAAATCGCGTCGTTCAAACATTAAACACGATCGGAAATTTAATGTGTTCAAGATCGCGAGGGGAGCTCTTTAAAATGAACGGAAAATTTCATCGTAAGTAAACTTCAGTACAACCATCTTAATTATCGATGTCTACTTATACCTCAGGTGGCATATCTAGTAATTTGGAGGCCGTTTTGAAGGTGAAAGCTGATTTTTTTGTTGGAAAATGTTGGTTTTTGGGACGGTGTTGTCCAGCTCGCGGTATTAGCTCGCGGTATTAGCTTGGACCCTACCATCGCCAGACCATGTCCAAATGTTAAAAAAGGCGATAAGTTGGGTCCAAGTTACTCGGACTATGTAGCGCGCAAGTTTAAACTTGCGTGCGCAATTTGTAGCAAGGAAATTAATGCACGCGCAAGTTTAAACTTGCGTGCGCGCAGGTTTAAACTTGCGCAGAGGACTCAAATTGCGCTCGACAAAACTAAAAGAGGTGCCCCTTACTACACGATCGCCCAAAACGTATAGCCTATGACGTCCGAAAACTGGGCCAGTTTGCGAGAGAAAATTTTAAAACGTTTTCGTGTCCCTCAATGTGCCCGTGGTTTCCTAATATTTAAAGGTATATTCATAAAAAGTGAAAAACGACTGCCATTTTACTAAGCTCCGAAAAACCCTAATTTTTAAACGGTTAAACCACTTCAGCTGTGTTGTTTTCAAGGTGGCACTAATTCACTCACCAGCACGGGAGCATCCATGTTGAATTGTCACTGGTACACGCGTGTACGTACGGATTCCTTACCCAAAACTGATGATTACCAACTAACACTTTTGCCAACGTGGAATTAGCGAGAAAATCCGAGAAGACACCTGTCGAGAGGGCGCCCTTTAATTTCAGTGAAAGCTACATGTGAGTTGCGTTCATTGATCTCCATATACACAGACTGGATAGGACATCGCGCAGCGTTTGTGCACGAATGCGCGGCCGAACAATGGCGGCGCGTTTACTGCCAGACGGGTAAACGCGCATTGTGCTTTCAGTTTGTTTACTTTGGAAAATGGATTATCGAGTGAAATTTTTCTTACAGGAGGGAGTTCAAGCGCTCCTCCAAAACAAATCTTTAAAAAAAATAACTGAACGATGAAGAGTTACCCTCAATCCCTCCATACAGCTTTTCCACACTTTCTTGATATACACTTTCTTATTATGCATTTTCGAAATTCAAGAACCCCCCTTTACTTTCCCCTTGTTTTTTTTCCCCCTCCTCTTCCCAAAAATGATTGTAAGTAAATTGCCATTTCATTTTTGGCACATCGGTCATTAGAGCACACTGAACTACTCCATCAATGAAATGAATAATTGTATCAATAACATGCTGAAAAGACATCAAATTTTTAACTGAACACTCACACGAGAAATTGTATGGAGATTCATTCAAATGATTGATATATTTATTAAAAAACCCGAACATAAACCAATTAGAGTGTATAAGGTAAGAAAAACCTTAATTTTACAAAGTAATCATAAAAACTTCTTCCCGTCCCTAGATTGATCAAGGAATGACATCGTTCACCTCTTGTGATATTGTGTGAAAGGAGATGAATCACAAACCAAAATTCTAATTTTGTCAAGGAATATCAAGCTATGCACGGTCTTGTTTATAATTAAATGTTTAGCTATACTTCTGAAAACGAAATATAATTACTTGTAAAAAGTGTAATGGGAATCGTTTTTGTGAGCGAATATGACGGTGTATTAATGGCTATAGCTAGTAATCTTATATAACGGCGTACACAACATAAGTTCAAACCGTAAAAGTACTCATTGCTTTCTTCACCATACAAACTGTCAAAAGTGACAGTCATCTTGGGAGCTCATAAAAATACTTGCGTTGAAATTCACAGCTTCTTTCCAAAAACAAAATCAATCAATGTTAACAGTTCCACATCCTAAGAATTGATTAAGAATTGATTCACATTGCATGTTCCATTCAGTGGATGATACAGTCGATTCCATCCCTCCGTGAAGTTCTCCATTTTCGTCCGTCTCGGATATCGTCCTGCAGCTGCATGGTGGTTTTTGCTATGGCTTTGCTGAAGTTGTTTGTTTGATATGAAGGTCAATCGGCCGGGTGTACAGTAATTTAGCATAAGACATCTCCTCGGTTTCTCTTTATAAAGAAAAAGAAAAGAAACATTTCGGTAGCCGTTAAGCCAAGGCAGACATAATTCAATCAGATTTTGTATATAAAAATTATAAAAGTTATTTGAATAAACTATTGTAGTGCTTCACGGTGTATCTACACGTGCGTCAGGAGCGTGAACCGAGACGGTGCTTGCCGCGGCCGACTTCACTTCTTACGGGTCCGAATTCCTCGTAAAAAGACAAGCCCGCAGGATTACTGTTAATCCCAGGCTTGAGTCCGATCCGGCAACTTGGGTCTCGAACGCAAAGGAGACGGATTGGTGCAGAAACACGAGAACACTAGGAGTTCTAGAAGAGTCTTGGTAACAACCATGTGACAAGTTTATCATACAACAACGACTGATCTAAGATGGCGGCGCCCACGAAAAACGATAAATTGATCATCGGTCACGTGACCGCATAATTCTGATACATTGATTAGTACGGGTGAAATATCAACTGGCACTACACTATTTTAAACAAGTCAACTTTTGTTCATTGCCATTGCCGGGTCAGTCATGCACGTTTAGGCAGTTTATTTTTTTTTCTTTTAAAGACCTAGGCCTAGGTCTTTAAAAAATGATGATGCCGACCAGCATGACAGGCCTATAGATCGCATGGAATTTGAACAGAATATCTCGCTAGCTACCACACAGGCCTCCATCCCCCCAAACTCAGAGCGGCAACATTTCGACATCATAATTTGCTTTGTCATTCCCACGTTCATATTCCTCCATGCCATGTTGTATAGGCCTCGTTAAAAAACAACTTACTTGCGAATAATTGTCCTATTCTTCAACGCTCCTTACTTGCCGACTCCAGCAATCTAATGCTGCGCACACCTTGACTATACTCCTCGTCGATTTTGATCAATTTAGATCTCTGTTTCTTTTATTCTTTCAAAAATGACAAAGAAACCGAAGAAAACCCAACTTCATTTTTTAATCCTCCGTTCGAAAGTGTACACAACTCGAATGCGAGTTTGTGTTCTTTACCCTTTTCAAAAAACGCGCGCGCGGACGCACGTTCGTACGCGATGTCCTATCCAGTCTGTGTATATGGAGATCAATGGTTGCGTTAGTGTTAGACTGACGGGCAGCTCTTAATCTTCCGCACGCGATTCTAACTTGTTAATAACTTCAATAGAATGTTATAATTGGCACCGTCTACTGTACATTGTAGCCTTTTATATGAACTCTGAACTTCCCCACAGTTATCTTTAAAAGAACATAAAGCAATTTGTCACTGTCATTCACTTTCACCTTGTCAAAAAGTGTTGCCTTCACTGCCCCGAGGTTGTCTCCAAAGAACTCTTGGTAAAACTGTTAGCTCAATATGAACCCCCCGTTCAAGAAAAACAAGTGCGATTGCACAATAAGCTCTGGCAGTGGCGTAGCCACCGGGGGGGGGGGGGGGGGGGGGGGGGGGGGGGGGCCGTGGGGGGCGACCGCCCCCCCCCCCCCAATGAAACCTTGTCGCCCCCCAGTCGCCCCCCCCCCCCCCCCCCCACTGAGATTTTGAGTTTCAAAAAAAAATTTCATTGATCTACATGACGCCATGGGCGTCAATCCTGGGGGGACAGGGGGACTTGTCCCCCCCCCCCCCCCCCCCCCACTTTTTGAAGAGTGGGGGACACAATATCAAATGTCCCCCCCCCCCCAGATTGTTGAACTCGTGTCTCATTTACAGGGCCCTATTATGTACTACAATGTATCTTTTGCTTAGAAAATATTGGTTAAAGTGGTCAGAAATTGCCTCAGATAGCACAACAGAGCATTTAGAATCCAAAATGTTTCGGGGCCCTTAAGCGGGCCCCGGACCCCACGCCTATAGCTCAGAATTCTGGTAGCCGACTCCAACCTCGCAAACAATGTTCAAAAAAATTTCTTATGCCTTTAGCTGAGAAAACCTCGAAAATTATGTTTAAATTATTATCTTTTGTGCTAAGATAATTATTGGTTAAAGTGGTAAGAAATTGCCTCAGATCACACCACAGAGCATCGAGAATCCAATTTTTTTCGGGGCCCTTAAGCGGGCCCCGGACCCCACGCCGTAAGGGCTTCGCGCTTCGCGCTCGCATCAGTTCTGATCAAGGTATGTCCCCCACGCCTATAGCTCAGAATACCGATAGCTGTTTCAATGACTCCAACCTCGAAAACGATGTTCAAATAATTTTCTTTTGCTAAGAAAATATTAGTTAAAGCATGGTGGTAAGAAATTGCTCCAGATCACACCACAGAACGTCTAGAATCATTTTTTTTTTCGGGGCCCTTAAGCGGGCCCCGAACCCCACGCCGTAAGGGCTTCGCGCTTCGCGCTCGTATCAGTTCTGAACAAGGTATGTCCCCCCCCCACTTTTGAGAAGCGATTGACGCCCCTACATGACGCCCCCCCCCCCATGAAATGTTCCAGCGCCCCCCCCCCCCTCCCACTGAAAAATTCCTGGCTACGCCACTGAGCTCTGGCCGTCTTGCATGAAAGACTTGCATGAAATGATACAATTACTAACTTGGTGGTGATTGACACTTGAAATAAGACTGTCCTATTTAGGTTTGTTGAAAATCACAATGCAAAATAATAGTGACCTTCTTAATGCAACTGTATCCTCACTCCTATGCCCTGGAGACTCGTACACTGACACAGGGCCAGAGGCAGGGGTGATGTATATAGTCAGTAGTCACAGGTGTGTAGAAGCCCCCTAACTTTCTAAGTTCGTAGCGCACACAAATACCACGTGACTATAACATTACCACACATCTTGCCTCTATTCAAAACATTTTATGAACAGTGTCACGAATTGTTACAAACAAGTTTTGTCAAATATTTAATGTATTTTGTTTGCTTTTTCGGGGGACAGTTACAATTTGGTTCGTACATGAGTTAGGGGTTCGTTTTTGGTCACTTTTTGGGGGGGATAGACCGACCGACCGACCGACCGACACCCGAGTGACCGTTGTAGAAGCTCTGCTGTCAGAGCTTAAAAAACCGAATCAGTAAAAAATATTCCTGATTAGTTCTAGTTTTAAGGTCCAAAATGATAGTGTAGGCAAGGGCGGATCCAGAACACAATTTTTTTTGGGGGGGGCCAAAGAAAATTTGTGTGTCTCCCAAAAAGTGGGTCAAAAAATTACGGCGTGGGGTTTGGGGCCCGCTTAAGGGCCCCGAAATTTTTTTGGATTCTCGATGCTCTGTGGTGCGATCAGGCTGAGGCAATTTCTGACCACTTTAGCCAATGTTTTTTGAGGAAAAGATGGTGGTGTACTCATTGCCTGCCTTTATTGAGACGTCACATAAAAAAAAACAATTGGTTTCGTGGGGTTTTTTTTGGGGGGGGGGCATGGCCCCCTTTGCCCCCCCCGATCCGCCCTTGAGTGTAGCCAGCTCCCACTATATAATTGGCTACAATAATTCTTAATCATGAAGAACCTATTGACAATTTAAAGTCTACCTTTAATATTAGTTCCGTCTCCGTACAGTCCGACAGATTCCATTAAATAATATCTCATTCTAACGTGATTATATGTAAAAAAAAAAAAAAAAAAAAATAGTTAGTGGCCTGACGTTTCGACCCTAGCAGAGTCTTTCTCGAAGGCTTAATGACAAGACTATAAACATAAACAGGTACATGTATACATTACTGATGTAACAAAAGCAGTCAAGTGGAAATAGATTATATGTAATTAAAAAAATGCACCT